GCAGTGTCGAGTTTGACTGGTGTGCCGTCGGCTGCATACAGGAACTCCGCAAGGTTGGCCAGGCCCCACCGCCCCGGTGGGTCGGGCATCCTCCATCAGAGGAGTGGGGCGCCCTGGGGGGGCCCTTGGCCTCACCTCGTCCCTCTTCCCCGGCAGATGGGCTTCAAGACGATCATGGTGAACTACAACCCCGAGACGGTGAGCACTGACTATGACATGTGCGACCGCCTCTACTTCGATGAGATCTCCTTTGAGGTGAGGGGGGCTGGGGCAGGGTGGGTGCTGTGGTGGGCCCTGTGGCCCCTGTCCCAGCCACCCCCCTCTCCCACGTGGTGCCGCAGGTGGTGATGGACATCTACGAGCTGGAGAACCCCGAGGGCGTGATCCTGTCCATGGGTGGGCAGCTGCCCAACAACATCGCCATGGCCCTGCACCGGCAGCAGTGCCGCATCCTGGGCACCTCCCCGGAGGCCATCGACTCGGCCGAGAACCGCTTCAAGTTCTCCCGCCTGCTTGACTCCATCGGCATCAGCCAGCCCCTCTGGAAGGAGCTCTCCGACATGGAGGTGGGGGGCGTGGGGGGCGACAGGGCTGCCCAAGGGGGACCGGCCCTCGTCACGTCCCCTGAGGGTGCTGGCTCTCTTGCAGTCGGCCAAGCACTTCTGCTGCAAGGTGGGGTACCCCTGCGTCGTGCGCCCCTCCTACGTGCTGAGCGGCGCTGCCATGAACGTGGCCTACTCGGACAGCGACCTGGAGAAGTTCCTGAGCAACGCCGTGGCTGTGTCCAAGGAGCAGCCCGTTGTCATCTCCAAGTTCATCCAGGAGGCCAAGGTCCATCCAGGAGGCTGCTCCAGCCCCAGGGCACCCCCGCTCCCTGCAGGAACCCTGTCCCCTGCCACCCCAGTGCTGGGCTGTGACCGTATTTCTGCTTGCAGGAGATTGATGTGGATGCGGTGGCCTGCGACGGCGTGGTGGTGGCCATCGCCATATCGGAGCACGTGGAGAACGCCGGGGTGCACTCGGGCGATGCCACGCTGGTGACGCCCCCCCAGGACATCACCCCCAAGACACTGGAGCGCATCAAGGCCATCGTCCACGCTGTCGGGCAGGAGCTGCAGGTCACCGGGCCCTTCAACCTGCAGCTCATCGCCAAGGTACCCCCGTTAGGGGGAGCATGCTGGGCCGGCACGGCGCCGATGGGAGGGCGCCCTGCAGTCCCAGGTGAGCCTCACGCCCTTCCCTCTCCCCCAGGACGACCAGCTGAAGGTGATCGAGTGCAACGTCCGAGTCTCCCGCTCCTTTCCCTTTGTCTCCAAGACCCTGGGGGTGGACCTGGTGGCTCTGGCCAGCCAGGTGATCATGGGTGAGGATGTGGAGGCAGTGG